ACAGTTGTGCTTAAAGATATTATACCGTATTTCGAAAAGACACAATTGATAATTTTAAAAATAAATAATTTTGATGTAAGTAATGTAAGTACCCAGTCATGTCTTTTGCACAAAAATCCTACCACTTATAAGGTTTTATATTCTACTTAAAATACAAGGGGTGATACATAATTTTCCACTTCCGATTAGCATCTCAAAAAGAGTGTTATAGGGGAAGATATCAAAAAGAGATTTACGTTTATCACACACTAAAACACATCGACAGATAGACAACTGGTAGATCAACGCAACTTTGATTTCGATTATTTATAAACACGTTCAAAAATTGATTGGTCGATTATGGGACAATCTTTAATAAAAACATATGCACCATTTCGGGGCGGTGGACACTTCAAGGAGATATACCAAATAGGGGATGGTGATTACTGCGACATTAAATGGGCATTACATCAACAATAGACATTAATTGAGGTACTGTTTGCAGAACATTTGTTTTGTTGTCTTTTCGTATATGCAGAAGAAAGACTTCGGGGGACAGAATATACTCACCCCTATATAGAGTGATTCTTTGGTTATGGGGAAATTGACAATTTTCATTATTCAGTACTACCATTTAATTTTTAAAAGTCTCTATAACTTGATTTAATAATAAAAATTAACCACCAAATAAAATATTAGAGGAAGAAGGACGAAGGTGTAATTATCTTTCAATTAAATATCAGAAAATAATTAAAAGAAATTACATATTACAATATATAATCTGTTTTATCGTTGATTAAGTTTTTTATATGAACTATTGTCAACGGGGTGTACTAAGTACCACATGAAAAAAGACACGTAATTGTAGTGATTGTAGAAATAACTATATTTAATTTAACTTAAATTTAATCCACTATAAACTAACTTTAAAACTACAAATACCGATTAATTAAAAATGATGATAAAAATCAATAGGAATGAATTAGGATAATCGTGATTGTCTTATGGAGATGATGTTTTCTCCAGCGAGTCTATAATAGCACTGATTTAAAATTTTATAAAATCTATGAACCTACTATCTCTAACAATAATGTACAAACATAATATTATCCTACCCCCAGGTAGGCGGTCATTGGACCTACAAGAATGCAGCCGAGGGGAATTTTGGCTATTAACAATAATAAAATTGTGATTGTACGTGACAAACACAATAGCACACTCTTTATAATTTACCCGACTACCCCGTATACCTAACAA